TGGGTTATCCTCAGAAGTTATTGACTTGAGCCTTTTACAGCCCATCTTATTAACATGGCTTTACTTTATATACCTTGTTTTTATACTTTTCTTCTGGGTGGTTAAAACCAAGATAAAGCATGACCTATATAGCAAGAAATGTAATTTTTGTATCTGATATGGTCAGTCAAGTACCCTCAGGATTTATCCCATTGCCCTGTACCATACTTTGTAGGTCCTTTGTCAGTGTCAGCCATGAGGATGAGTCACGGCCATTGCTTGACCAATTTGCTCTCTGTGAAAGCCTGAGAGAATGTTTTTTCTCTCCATGTGACTCTCCCCAGGCACAGTATACATCATTGATCACATTCCTCTGTGGCTCCATGATCTTCTTGATCAGAAAATTTGGAGCACAACTGAGTTACATGTTGTTACAGTACAGGTTCTTCTATGTCCCGAGTCTTCACTGACCTTGAAAGGCTAAGACCATAATGTTGGCTGACCTTGCAGCCCTTCTTTTTCTCCAGTTTTGAACTGCTAACTTAGGTTGTTAACCTCCCAGAAGAGAAGCTTATTATTAACCTGCAATATATGCAGTTTGGTTTACCCTATCTGTCTAAATATCAAACATCTTTGGCATATCATGGAACAGGTATTTTCCATCAAATATTGGTATGTTGAACTTTAAGACCTTACAGAATATGTAGAAAAAATAATTTTATAAAGGTAGAAATAAGCATTTACATAACTTTACAAAGAAATTTAGAAATCTAACCATATACAGAATTGTAACAGGACAGACCTGTGACATTTTTTTTCTTATTCTTGTGACTTTTTTTTTCATTTATCACCCCTTAAAAAAAGAAAAAAACTTTACTTGAGAGACATTCTGGCAATAAAAATGGTATAGATTGACATTTTAAATGAGTCATAGTGGAGTGTGTGACATTGTAGAACCATCTTTGTCATTATGAGACTCCATATAATTTTATCTAGCGTGTAAATCTTTACTACTGAAACACTGAGCAGTTGTTTGCTAAGACATTGAAGAAGTCATTTCTGCCATTTCCCCTCCCAAGGTGTTTTTATGTCTGTGGGAGGCTTGGTAATTATAAAAACCAAGTGCTACATACACTATTCAGACTTATTCAGAAATTAAAACCCAACCCAAGGTTTATGTCTACATATAGTGCCCACTGTGTGTAAAATGAAAAATTCTACCAGTCAACCTCTCTTTTTTCTTTGTATTATAATCTAGATTTATTTAGGAAACCAACCAAAATATAATTCTCCCAGACTCATAATTTAATTTACCTGATTGCAGTACAGGTAAATTAGTGTTCTGTTAACAAAATGAAAACAACATCTTGACTATAAATGCCAAGGTTTGGATATTCTGTTGGACACCGTAAACATTGTAAACACTTCTGCTGGCATGATCTTCCCTTCCTCTCCTTTCTCAGCTGTAGCCTAAATGCTGACAGTTTTCTAAGTCTGTATCTTTAGCTTGGATCTTTACAGTCTTTATCTGATATCTCCACCTTGATGCCTTGCTCATACCTCAGATCAAACTTGCCAATTGTGGATGGTGTCCATCTCTACCACATTGCCCAAGCTGGAAGCCTTAACCCTTCCTTTTTTTCTGACACTTCATTATCAGTCAGTTGGAAGAGAAGGCTGATTTTCATTCCTCATGCTCTGATTTTCATTCATTTGTTCTCTGATTTAGAAGGCAGTAAAATCCTTTATACTTTCTGTTTAAAATGAATGATACAGGACCAGAGAGATGGCTCAGTGGAATAAGTGCTTCCCTGGCAAGCGCAAGGGCCTGAGTTCAATCCCTGGTTCTGCCAAATTAATTAATTAATTAAAATAAAATGAATGATACTAAGTTTTGTCACTAAGATTCGAGTACTGTGTCAGTCAACTTTCTATTGCTGGGACAAAATAATTTATCCATCATGCATGAATTAAAGGGTTCTTCTGACTCTAGATTTCAGAGATTTAATCCACAGTAAGCTCCCTCCATCACTGTTGGGCCCACAGTGAGGCCTCATCATGGAATAAAGTCAGGGAGAGGAAAGCTATTTACCTCATGGCAGCCAAGAAGCAGAAGGCAAGGGCAAGAGAGAGAAGGGGCTCAGGATAGGTTGTGCTCTTCTAAGGCAGGTCCCCAGTGTGCTGCTTCAGCCAGGCCCTGTGTACTGGTGATGTGTTCAGCTATGAATTTGTCAAAAAAATTAAGCAATGGGGTTATCGCCCCAAGAGCTTATCACATTCCCCAAACCCCATCTCTGAACATATGAGCTTTGGAGGGGCATTTATTTTTATTCAAACAGTAACAGGTACTTTTAACTTACCTTAATGAAACACCAAAATTCTTTGTTTTTTTCTGTTTTGTGTGTTTGTTTGTTTGTCGGGTGAAACTGGGGATTGAACTCAGGCCCTTGTGCTTGCCAGGGAAGCACTTATTCCACTGAGCCATCTCCCCGGTCCTGATACACCAAAATTCTTAATAATGCCCAATAATGATTCTCGGTATTACAGGTCTAATTTTCCACAAGTTTTATATATTAAAAATATAAATATTTGTTAGAGAAGGAGAATGTTTCTTCTGATTAACATGAGCTGAATAGAAGCCATGTGTGGAAGAACACTCAGGTAGAACTGGACCCTTTGTAGGTGGTGGTGGGGTACTTCCTTCTCAGGGAAATGTGGCATGTGTCCACATTGGCCTTTCAACTCCATATCACCTGTTCATGCAGTTCAGAAGTTCCACTGTTGCCTAGCAGTTTGTTCTTTTGCTCATAGTCATTTGAGAAGATGGGTAATTAATTGTTGAATCAGAAATGAATAAAGAAAATATAGAACAATTCTATGACTTACATACAAATGTGTTTATTGCATGATAGGAAAAGGTATATACTTCTGTGACATATAACTAAAGAATAGTGGCTTATTTTGCACATACCAGAGTTGCTTATGGCCCAAAATAATTGATACTCATGTTCTGAGTGATTCTCCATCACAGAATCTGTACACTCTTTCCCATAATACAACCATCCTTTAAGACATCTTTAGAAATCCTTCTACATTTTCTTCAGCGGCTGTGACTCACTATTTTCAATATCTTCAGAATATTTTCAGCTGAGAGTGGACTTGATTTGGGGAAGCGAGAGTCACTTATTGGCCAGGTATGGTGAGTAAAGTGGAGGATCAGCTGAGAAGTGCCATTTTTGGTGACTATAAGTAGTGAGAGTGTTTTTTTAGCTTTACTCATAAAATAGCCAGAAATATTATCTCAAAACAGAAAATGAGCTGTAATTTTTATCATTTTAAAGCCAAGTCTAATTGCTTTTATATAATTATCCTGTCCTATAATTTCTGTTGACTCCCTGGCATCTGAACCTGCTTTGCCTGGGCCCCGGGCCCCACTGGGCCTGTCCTCACTTGCTGCAGTCCTACCATGGAGTCTTCCTTGGATCCCTTTCTCTCTAGTGTTCACTTTTTTTTTTTTTAACAGATATATTTTATCAGATTTTTCTTTTATTTGCCCTTTCCTAAAAGTAGACATTATGACTCTTTTACAAATTACTTGAAGTTCTTAACAAAGTATGGCTTTTGGTCTTCAGGAAAGAAACTTGTTTTAGTTATTGACTACCTTTCAAAGAGAATGTCAAGAATTTTGCTGAAATGTTAATATTAAAATTCATTGGACTTTAAAGTATTGTGGATATTGTGCTACACTAATATTTTTGTCTTTTTCTAGTTAAAAAATCTAAGTTTAGAAGAACTACAGATGCGGTTAAAAGCACTGGATCCCATGATGGAACGTGAGATAGAAGAACTCCGTCAGAGATACACTGCAAAAAGACAACCCATTCTGGATGCGATGGATGCGAAGAAGAGAAGACAGCAAAACTTCTGAGTCTGATTTCTTCTTTTAATGCCTACTGTGGAGACCAAAAAACCACTAAGAATTGAGAAAATATTAGAATTTTTTAATCCCTACGATTTATACTCTGCAACTAGGCAAAAGTCAAAAACTAATGATGGTATATACCTAATTCCCAAAAGCAAATTTTACAGTTGTATCCACTATATTTTCATTTGTAATTGAGAACAATAGAAATGTATTGTCTTTTTCTGCCAGATGAAAATCATTTTAAAATGACTATTTAGAGACCTTGAAGATCCAAAGCTATTGTTTGATTGTACAGCACTGATGGGCTTTATGTCACAATATTCTTTGTTCCTATCTGGAAGCCTATTTATTTTAATCCTTTAGGTAGACTTATTTATTTATGCTATTTCACTTTGTTTTGTTTTTTAAAGACAAACTTGGACAGCTTTGGTGAAAGTAGGAACATATTAATAGATAATAATGTTCAACCAAATTATACTTCAAGCAGGGAGCTCTGGGGTACATTCCTTGATTTCCAGGATAGTTTTCCAATAGAAGAAAAGCAATAAGATCAATAGCACCCAAATGGGCTGTACATTTTTGTATTGGAGCAATAATTCCATTTTTACCTTTTGACATTTTGATTTTTGATATTTGCTACAAATAGAATTGTATATTTAGGTTAAACAGAGCTATAATGTTTAAAACCAAAGAAATCAATGGAATCCTTGCACCAAAAGAGTGTGATAAATATTTTAAAAGAAATGAAACCTTGATACAAATGTAATTTGTTAATACTGTTTCATGCTTCATATGTAGATCTGTTAGCTAAACTGAATCAAACTTGCAATTAGCTCATCCAATTTATTTCTGTGAAATTGTGCTCTACTATTACAGGACTTTATGTTGATTTCATTTATTTCCTGAAAAAAGGTAAACATCATGTGCCTGAGGATTAAAAAATGACAAAAATATTTCTACTGAACTGTGCAAAGCTTGGGGACTGAAAAGAAAAATACTAAAACCATTAAAAAGTTACTCATTTCTAAGCTGAATGAACATTTGTCTAATTGAACTGGGACCAGTTGTTTCCTAAGCTACATATGGCCATCTTGACAGTGTTTGTTCTTTTATGTATTTAATTACTATGTGGAAGTCATAAAGACAAATAAATTTTACTGTGCCACCCAGCACATTTCATCTCTGTATCTTTTTTAAAATTCATGACGTGGACGCTCTTTTTCCAGACAAGGAAGGTGTTAGGCAGGGCAGGCTAGATTATGCAGTGGCAGCAACATTAACCTCAATAGCTTTATGAACACCGGTCACTCCTCACTTAAGTTCTAGCCCCATCCCTTATTAGCAGGGTACCCTGTTCCTGTCATCCGTATCCCAGGACATGCTGATGTAGCGTTTTGTGGTCTCCACCATCAAGGGACAGAGGTCCTGGTGATTCACATTCACTGTAACCAACAATGACCACATGTCAAGTTTGCTACAACTGCATATCCAGAACTAGCCACGCGGCCACTCCTCATTTCCAGAGAGCAGGGCAGTGCAGCCTCACCAGTGGCTGGGGCCACTGACATCTGCCCCAGAAGGTGTGTCTTCCCTGGCAAGTTTTCTTCCTGATTCAAATGGCATTTGTGCCCAGAGCAGTGCCTTGATGTAGCATTTGTCTCTGCTTCATTGAGTCCTTACAAATAACGTATTGTATAATTCCATATAAATGACTACCTTATTATTAAAGGGCTTATTTTACACATGCCAGAGCTTTATGTAATACATTAATAAGGTGGTTTTAGTGCTTGAGCTAATCTTTATTGGAGTCCATTTGGAACAGTCAAATGGATTGCTAATTTTACCCATTTTCCTTTATTGTACTTCCCCATTCCAATGCCTTGCTGGTATAATAGAATAAAATAACTGATTTTTGTACCATTTAAGCAAAACTACACAATGTGAAATTGAACAGAAACTTGTGGAGATTATTTTCTTCAGTTTTCAAATTGGTAATATTCCTGTAGACTAGGGTAGTGAGGTCTGTTAACCACTTTTACTAGTTCATTCTGAGCAAGAGTCTTCCTTGTAATAATATCATGTTCCAGTAATATAATTTTATGCAACTAGACTATCTTCTTTTGTTGCATTTGTGTCTATTTAAATATGTATGTGTATATACACATATTGAAGAGAATCAGTAGAAGTAGATATTTTAGTTTAGAGCCACAGGAAAACACATCATTTTAGGATGACCTACCTTAAGACTCTCCTATCTTCCTACTTCCATAAAAATAGAAAAATAAAATAAAAACCTCAAATTGAACCACATAATACAAAAGAAACTCTACATAAGCCTTGATTAATTGTGACTCTTTGGAGATTGTTCTAGTTACTTTAATGAGCTTAAAAAGAAAATTCTTGTTTTGACTTTGAGAACTTTCCAAAAATAGGTAAAAGTGCTTTCTCCACACCCCATCCTTTTATAAATACAGTATTGTGAATGTAAGTGAAGCTAATGAGCCAAAGTTTCATCTCACCAAAAGCTGGCTTTGTTATGTATATTTTCCTGTAGATGAGAAAATTTTTCCTTTGATTTAATGAACTTAGATGACTCATATCGACAGACTTACATTTACATAGCCCATTTTAGCATAAATAGTTTTAATGCTCAAAATAGAAGTTATTTTGGCCAGTATAAATTGGAGAAGAAAATGTATTTGTTCAAACAAGATTTTAAAATAATGACATTATTTGGGGCATTTGTGTTACTGTGCTAAGTAACTTATGGACACTACATGTTTTTATATTTTTTTCTTCTGTTTATTTACTGAATCATGATATAGGGAGAAAATGATCTCAGTGGATGACCTCCAAATGATATAGGGGAAAAAATGAAACTCCCAACCTGAAAGATACCTGGGACAAGTTCGTGTTCTCTAAAACCAAAGAATGAATTTTAGAAACAAATGGAAGTTATGAGCAGAATATATTTATTGGGGGGAAGAAAGCTCCTGTTTGAGAGAGGGACAGGAGCTGGGCCCTGAGCGGGTGGTCCCTAAGAAGCTGTCTCTTCCAGGGACTTTTATAGTGTAAAACCATGCGGGTCTAAGGTGGAAAACATGGGAACTAGCCCAGGTGAGTATGAGGTGGGACAAAACTATGGTCAACCAATGCGATCACAAGCACCATTGTTCAGGTAAAATGGATAAAGTCCAGGAACAAATGGGGAAGCGAATCACGTAGCAAGTGGGCATGAATATAGAACCAGAGTTTATCCAGTAGCGAGCTGGTAGTAGTGGTAGTAGTCGGATTAGTGACTCTTCCTGGCTTCCTCAAGGTGATGATCAATCCCAGATGCTTATCTTTAGGGAGGTCAGCATTTGTTTGATCTTTGGTCTCTAGGTCTGGCCCACAGCAGGAGCATCCATCTCTCTCTCTCAGTTGTAAGGTATCTTGGCTTCTGTGTTATCTCCTTGAGGGCCTGGCCCTGTCTGACTGCCTGTAATATTTCTGTCTAATTCAGCTGCCTGCAAAAATACTCCCCAAAGTTTAAAATCATGCTCTACTCGTAGATAGTTATGTAGCTTCTCTAATGGATATTATATAATCCATTAATAAGGTGTTTTTAACTTAGTCACAGGAAATCTTTTCAAATTACATGTTAACATTCAATAGGAATCTATTTTTGTTGCCTCTTATATATGTTAAAAGATTAATGATTAAATTCTGAAAGTACTGATTCTCTAAATAGAACATTAAAAAAAATTGGAGTTATACTGCTTTACTAACCTGTTATTAGACAGACATTTAATTAGCTGTTTCATCAAAAATGCTATTTTGGAGCCCCAGGTATTCTTTTTTTTTGGCACAAAATGCTAGGAATGTGGGGTTCAATGAGCCATTTTTCTTTGCTATTTGAGGAATGTAATGGATCCCTGAAGCTTTACATACGGGGTAGTTGGACATGACCAAAGAACAACTTGCCATCCAGAGCCACAGTCAGTTTCTCCATGCTCCATGTCTATACAGAACACCTTCAACCTCAGCCAACCACTTCCTACTTTCTGGGTCCCAGAAAGATTCCCATGAGGAAAAAAGTGCACAATCAAGTCAATTCTTCCACCAATCTTAAGAGGAAAAAAAAATCCCAAATTCCTACTCTTCTTACAATGCATCCTCTCATTAGTAAGACTCCTACCGCTGCTGTCTTCACTTGACTAAACTGCCGAAATAGAAATTCTAATTTTTACCCTCACTTTTCTGCTCACAGAACGTTGCCTACTGAGTTGAACATGAACTCTGGCTCCTGATACTCCAGACCTGCAGCATGCCTCAGCTGACGTTTATGACCTCATCTCCTGATACTATTTTATTTCCGACCTTCCACCCACCAAACTGAACAGCCTCCAATTCTATTATTATTAGCTTATTTATCTTGTTTCTGGGTCATAACAGTTCTGAAAGCAGAGAGCATTTATCCATGGTTCCCTATAGTGCTTGCCAGTTTATTAGATATAATTTAATATTAAAGTTTCATTGAATAAGTGAACTTAAACAATAAAATTGTCATCATTAATCATACAGGTTCTCTCTTGTTAGCATCCTGTCACTGTAATGACATCTATAAATCAACTCTTTTGGGGAAATCTTCTAAGCCATGTACTTTTGATGAATTATCATAAGACTTAAGATGCATACTCCTGCCGGGGAGGGGAGATGGCTCAGTAGAATAAGTGCTTCCCTGGCAAGAGCAAGGGCCCAGAGTTCAATCCCCAGTTCCGCAAACAAACAAAAAAAAAAAAAAACAAACAAACAAACAAAAAAGATGCATACTCCTTTTAATGAAAAGCATTAAAGGAAAGAATTAGATTAAATGAGGTCACACTGCTAGTTAATGCCAGTATGAGCTTTAAACTTCTCTCTCCAAACTCGTTGCTTTCCCTACTACATCACATTGCCCAGTAAACACCAAAGTCTGGCTCTAGAATGCTGGACAGGGCGCTCAGTTTGTGTGCTGATCTCTCAGAAAGAGATAATTACAACTTCAAAGAGAATCATTGTTAACTGATTTTACCTTTTCCACATTTCGGTGGAACCTATACTTTCTGAAATGACATCCTTTCTACAGAGAAAAAAATGTATTTACTCAAGCTTCCAAGACGAGTTATAAAAAAGATTTTTTTCTTTGTTATAATACATACAGAGATCTTGCGCCTTGAACACTGTGTTTTCTTGTAAACTGTATTTTATTCTCGCCCTTACCACTCTTTTCTTTGATAATAAGCACTTAGAGAAACATTAATCATTACAATGCAAGGAGTCAGGCATCAGAAGTTAAATGAGGTGGATTCAAATCTCAGTTCTTCCTTTATGCCTCATTGTCCTGGACAAATACAACCATTTGGCCAATCTGTTCCAATTTCTTTGACTGTAATAAGGCCGCAATAAAAACTCAAATATTCTAATACACATTAAATGGTGAACAAAGTTCCTGGCATAAGACATGTGGGTATTAGCTTTAAAGATCAATTTACTAAGCTTAAAACTAATGAGTTCTAGTTTTCTAATAGAATAACCAGTATCTTGTTTAAACCAAGCCACTAGTCATCTTTTGCATTTTTATAGAATGTTCCGAAGAGAACTATAATCAGTGAAGCAGAAGTTAAATAAAACCCGAGACTAGAGCTCTCAGCCTTTATATTTTCTTTCTAGTGTTCCAGTCTCTGCACACTGCTGGGTGGAGGGGGCAATCCTTCAGCGGTGCATTTCTCAGCCTTTTCATTTGTTCCATGTCAGCTTTCTTTCCTATTTAAAAAGAAAATATTGATGGCAAAATATTCAAATGAAAAGACGTGATAGCGCAGAAACTTTGATGTTAAGAAAAAAAAGGTACACTGAGGAATCTGAAATGTAGAGCTCTTTCATTATTAATGAATCAATGTGCAAATTCATGAATTCACTCTCTGTTGACCTTTCAGAAAGAATAGAGAAATTTATTTTTAAAGCACATGAGCTCATGACCATACATATGTTTGCATGTTTCTAATGTGGCCTTT